ATCACCAACCAATTGTTAACATTTGGATCACCCATTAATATCAGTATGCCCATGATTATGGAGCACAGGGGAATGCTACTAAAGAAATACCACGACCACATATCCTTACCCACAATGGAACCATCTGAGAAAAAAAGAATGGAAGTTACAAAAAAACACACAGCATTGAGCACACCAAGACAATGACTAAAAACTGTTAGAAATTTTGGTATTTTCTCTGCGCATACATGTTAAAACTAATAAAAGGATAATGTGGTTGGTCTAGCTGCATATATCATCAAACAAGAAAGAGATACATCTACAAAAGGACAAGAAGTATATCGTTGTCCATTACACAATTTAGCATTAGATAGAAATACTCATAATTGAACTCGAAAAGGCTGGATGCTGCAATAATAATTATGATAGGAATGAAATTGGCCTTGGAAGAAATTAAACGGAATTAATAAAACAAGTTCAAAGGAAATGATCAACTTACGAGAATGTTCAACCCAGGGCATGATCCACCTAAAATTCTTTACAGATCTAACCACGGTCTTCAAGTTTTCAGAGGAAAGCGTCCATGTGCGGAGGAGGAACAGAGAGACAACTTCATCACCCATGAGTAGTAGTATATCTCTGTTAATTAATGTGGATCCTAGCCGCTAATTAGTAGTTGTAACTTACATCTATCAAACCAGTAGTAGTAATAAACAAACAATTTCATCAAGCACAAATTGCAAAACAAGATTGACAATACAAAAATCAAGGTTGTTAAAATCTATCTATATATAATAGGAGAGGAAATAGTGTCACTTGTCAGCACCGCATAATTTCTAAATATATTAAATAATAAATACAACAATTTAATTTATAGATATATTAAATAAAAAATTAAAACAGTTTTAAGCATTCATGTACGTTTGAAGTGGTCTCTTTTTAAATAATTAAAAAAAAAAAATATGTTTGTTCCTAATAAAATGCAAATCTAACTACTGAAATAACTACAAAGTCACGCATTTACTTTATTTTTTAAAAATAGAAGAGATAAAATTGTCAGCATGACAAAGAAAAATCACTAAAATTATAACAAAAAAAAAAACAGAATCAATAAAATTATAATAAGAAATAAGAAATAAATTCTTAGTCATTATCCACATCCCACAAATTAGCAGCTACGGAATATAAATTATTTAGCATTATTCTTAATGGTAGTATATCAGTTCATACCAAATGATTTTTCTTTCATTCAAAAACTTTCTAGCAATAATCAATCATTAGCAACCAATGGATCTATCACTTCACTTTGTTAAATAAACAATTAAAATTTGTTTCCGTTACGGCAGTAAATTTAATTTTTACAAACTCTCACTCTAATATATCTATATGCATGTGTTTTTCCCAGCAATGTCATCTCCTGGCAAATTTAATTAGTAAGATTTCTCCCTTTTTGTGTGTATCTATGAGTTTATTTATAACATTCTATGATAATTTTTTTCTTAATTCTTAATTGCTTTTTGAAAGTTTATTCTTAGTTATATGAATTAAATATAATTGATAAATAGAGTTTATGTCTTTTTATGAATTTTATTTATTAGTCTAGATTTTTTTAACGCATTTATTTCGCCTGTATATGCGTTTAATTTGATGTCGATTTTGGAGCTTCAGGATATTGTTGAAATTTGTTGTCTTACTATTTAATTCAATGACTATGACATTTTAATTTTATATTTTTTTAAAATCATAATATCAAACAAGGAATAGATCAATTAATGATGATATTTGCTTTGAAAAAAATTGAGACTTGATAATTATAATAAGAAATAAAATCTATTTTGTGTTATTGGAGAACTAATGGGCCATCAAAATGAATTAATATTTTATAAATTTATGATAGTCATCTGCAATTAAATTTTATTTATAGTTTTTAAAGGTTTTTATCGCTAATTATATGAGTAATATGACCATGAGTTGAGGACGACCAAGCTTCTCCTCAGCAACGTTTTGCTAACTGCTTTCTCCTCTCATATGTTACTTGAGCTCTCTTGTTCTCAAGATCCTATGGTAAATCATAAACAACGTAGAACAGTCATAAATACATGCGTGAAATCATAAAGGCCGACAACAAATATATTACAGTAACAGTAACACCAAGTAAGGTAATGAGAAGACTCATAGAAGTACCATTGGTCCGTATTCTGGATGGGTTGGTCCTCCATCACATCATCAGTCAGCAAGGCAACCGCTCTAACTCCTTTTTACCATGCTCAGGTAATTCAGGAGCAGAATACGTCACATATCTATAGAAACACAATACAACACACAAGCTCAAACCCAAACCTCTAACTAACAATCCTCCCTTGAGAAAGTAAGCAAGAACCAACATTATTAATCCAAACAATACGTCTTTTCCTCCAATATCATACGCTACGCGCATGAAGTGCACAATGGTATAGAAATATGTCGTGATGCCTAGTATTAGACAGAAATACCCATAATTGAACTCCAAAAAATTGAACTCCAAAAGGTGATGAAAGGCTGCTGCAATTATCATAGGAATGACCTCGAGCTTATATTTGGCCTTGGCACCAATTAAACGGAAAGGCATGTCACGACACCAATAAATAATAGATATCAGCAGAGCATGATGAGTAAGCATGACAAAAATTATGAGAATCATGTCGGGAATCAGCAACCAATTGTTAATAGTTGGATCACCGAGTAATATCGGTATGCCCATCATTATGGAGCACTGGGGAATGTTACCAAACATAACCCACGACCACATATCCTTACCCACAATGAGACCACCTGAGAAAAAAAGAATGGAAGTTACAAAAAAACACACTTCATTGAGCACACCAAGACAATGAACAAGCATCACTACTACAAAGACTAAACATTGTCCAAAAAGAAATTTTGGTATTTTCTCTGCGCATACATGATAAAACAAATAAAAGCATAATGTGGTTGGCCATGGGGGGGCTAGCTGCATATATAATCAAACAAGAAAGGATTGTAACTCAATTATGTAAGGTACAATTCATGTAGTTGTTGATCCATCATAAGATTCAAGATGAACTGATACAAAAGCCCTAACCAAATGGAGAGCAAACAGGAAACTATAAAATTAGTCGTCTTTCACATCATCAGCAAGGCAGGCAACTCCAGCATACATTACGTATCTATCTATAGAAACACAATTCTCCCGTGTTTTTCCTCCAAATTAAATCATATATAGGATGTGTGCATGAAATATGTGGTGAAGCCTAGCATTAGATCGAAAGGCTGCTGCAATAATTATCATAAAATTGGCCTTGGTAGCAATTAAAGGGAATAAAACAAGTTCAAAGGAACTGATCAACTTACGAGGATGTTCAGCCCAGGGCATGATCCACTTAAAATTCTTGACAGATGTAACCACAGAGGCAACTTCATCACCAGCAGAGGCGACAACTTCGACAACTTCATCACCACCAGCAGAGACAACTTCGACAACTTCATCACCCATCGAGGCCCAGCTAGCAGAATATATCGTCAAACAACAAATTAAAGAGATAAGTATATCTCTATTAATGTGCTAATTTAAGACAAAATTAGTAGTGGTAACTTACATCTATCTTCAAACTGTATGTAAGCTGTAGTAATAAACAAACAAGATTGACAATACAAAATTCAAGGTTGTTAAAATTAGGGTAGAAAATTTTACCAAGTTTGGATTTTTTTTTTTTGTTGAAAAACACTTGTTATAGGAGAAGGAAGTGCGTGCATCTAAGACTCTTGTTACCTATAAATATTATTAATTAGAAGATGATCTAACTACCATAGATCATTACTACCCAAAATACTAAAAATAAATAAAAAATCATTAGTCAAAAAATCCAACCTTGTATGTAATACTTCTTCTCTTTCTTTTTAGTCGTCAATATTATAAAGTCCAAACTATTGTAAATGGTATTAATAGTTAAAAATTACTTCCTACATTGTTATATGCTAAATGATTGCAATAAAATAGTGTTTCTTCCTTATTGGTTTTATCAATTTTATTATTTATTCAACAAACAAATGTTATTTATTCAACAAACAAATGTCATATAGTTGATGGTGTTGAAAAAAATGATCCTCCAATCAAATTTCATTGTGCATCTGGAAATGACGATCTTGGAATGCATTATCCTAAATTCAACGATGATTTTCATTTCAAGTTCAGGTCAAATCTACTTCATGAGACGGTGTTCTTTTGTCATTTTTGATGGGGTACAAAAGATGTTGCATTTAAAGTGTACATAGATAGCGGAAATTGTGGTGTTGAAGGAGGATATGACTCAGGAATATGTTATTGGTTAATTGAAGAAGATGGTTTCTATTTTGCTCCTAAATATAATCCTCCTCCATCTGAGTTGATTAGAAAATATGGTTGGTAAAAATTAACGTAATGTAAGTACCCATGAAATGAAAAAATTACTTTAATTTTCAATTTCAAAATTGTGTCACAATCAAAATTCAGTGATTAAAAACTATACCATTGTTTTTAATATGTTCAGGCCTATATATTGAGTCAATAACATTTAATAGTTTTAACCATAAAAAACCACCAATCGAAAAGGGAAAAAAGAAGAAGCAATCATTAAAAGATTTAGCTACCAATAGTACATGAAGATGAAGTACTTAATAAAGTATTAGTATCATTGACCCTACTAATTTATAGATCGTGACGGAATATAATACGTTAATTGAAATGAAGATAAATAGAATTTTGTGCAAACGATAGAACGATAAAAAACTCTTTCTAAACTTTGTCAAGCCTATCTGCTCATTGCTTCAAATTAGAGTTTATAGTTTTAAGATCGCACTTTTAAGATACGTGTGGTAAAATATTTCAAATTCAATATCTACTGATTTCGTCATTTTTATGATTCAAAGAATTCGCCAGTTATACGACAATTAGCACAAACGTAAGTAAATGATAGCAAACACTATAAAAACCTCCTAAAATGTGAAGAATAACGTATAAAGTGATTGAATAAATTAATTCATTTTTGTATATAAAAATTTATTTTGGGTAATATTTAAAGTACAATTATTCAAACAAACACGAACTCCATCGAAAGACAAATCAAACATTTCCATAGTTTGGCTTCAAAACACATACTACTACTGCAAAAGTAGTAGAGGCTTACAGAGGTCCAGTCCCATCATTTTTATCAGCATCTGGTATGCTCCAGTAGGTACAAAAGTTGTTAGAGATCTCCCAGCTCCAATCTTCCTTCCTTGTCAATTTCAGTACACTCTGCATAAGTTTTTTCAGTACACTGTGCATAATATAAATATGATTTTTCAGTCGACATAAATATACACTTTTCTTCCAATTAATATCACCATAAACAAAAATACTATGCACCAAACACACCTCACTCCAAAATGGGTGATACAGTTAACTAACCTCATCGTAAATACATGCGTGAAATCATAAAGGCCGAAAACAAAGATAGCACCAAGTAAGGTAATGAGAAGAGCCATAGAAGTACCGTTGGTCCGTATTCTGGATGGGTTGGTCCTCAGTCAGCAAGGCAACCGCTCCAACTCCTTTTTACCATGCTCAGGTACTTCAGGAGCAGAATACGTCACATATCTATAGAAACACAATACAACACACAAGCTCAAACCCAAACCTCTAACTAGCAATCCTCCCTTGAGAAAGTAAGCAAGAACCGGCATTACTAATCCCAACAATACGTCTTTTCCTCCAATATCATACGCTGCGTGCATGAAGTGCGCAATGGTATAGAAATATGTCGTGAAACCTAGTATTAGACAGAAATACCCATAATTGAACTCCAAAAGGTGATGAAAGGCTGCTGCAATTATCATAGGAATGACCTCGAGCTTAAATTTGGCCTTGGCACCAATTAAACGGAAAGGCATGTCACGATACCAATAAATAATAGATGCCAGCAGAACCGGATGAGCAACCATGCCCCACAAAATCATGAGAATCGTGTCGGGAATCAGCAACCACTTGTTAACAGTTGGATCACCGAGTAATATTATTATGCCTGTGATTATGGAGATCAGGGGAATGATACCAAACATATACCACAACGACAGATCCATACCCACAATGAGACCACCTCCACCTGAGAAAAAAGGAATGGAAGTTACAAAAAAAACACAGCATTGAGCACACCAAGACAATGACTAAAAATTGTCGTCTCCAAAGAACTTTTGGTATTTTCTCTGCGCATACATGTTAAAACTAATAAAAGGATAATGTGGTTGGTCTAGCTGCATATATCATCAAACAAGAAAGAAATTTGTTTCAAGAGGAAAAACTTATAATATTGTTTTGGCTATCATGGATGTAGTTAAAAAAAGCTGCGCCAAAATAAATTTCATAATTTGTACCTGCACAAGTATAGGTTTGAGGATTGAACATGCATCCAAAAAACACTTGAATATTTTAAGTCAAAAAATGTTACTATTGATGAACTTGTGTAGCCTAAAAGTTTTGGGGAATCAAAGAAAATGGGAGAGAGAGAGAGGATGTTAAGAAAGGGTTCCTACACCTTGGCTTTCATTATGAACATGTTTTTTGATACAAAAGCCCTAACCAAATGAGAAAAAGGAAGAGAGCAAACACGATACTATAAAATTAGTCCTCTTTCACATCATCAGCAAGGCATGCAACTCCTTTTCACGAAACACAATTCTCCCTACGTGTTTTTCCTCCAAAATCATAGGTAGCATTAGATAGAAATACCCATAATTGAACTCGAAAAGGCTGGCTGCTGCAATAATAATTATGATAGGAATGAAATTGGCCTTGGCAGCAATTAATACCAATAAATAAAACAAGTTCAAAGGAAATGATCAACTTACGAAAACGTCTAGGATCCCAGGGCATGATCCACCTAAAATTCTTGACAGATGTAACCACCGCCTTCAACTTTTCAGAGGAAAGTGTCCACGTGTGGAGGAACAGAGAGACGACTTCATCACCCATCGAGTCCCGGCTAGCTGCATATATCGTCAAACAACAAAGAGATAAAAGCACAAGTAGTATATCTCTGTATAAGAGATCCGACAAAATTAGTAGTGGTAACATCTATCTTCCCACTAATCAGAGATCAAACTTTGTGTAAGCTAAGCTGTAGTAGTAATAAACAAACCTTGACGTCAACTATATAAAATATGTCTAAGCCTTGGTAAGTAAAGTTCTACAATCTTGTATACATTCTCATATGTCTAAGTCTTGGTAAGTAAAGTTTTGCAGTAATGTAGGTAATAGAAGCCAAGTAATTCAAAGATGAACCTAATGCAATAATTATCATAAAATTGGCCTTGGCAGCAATTAAAAGGAATAAAACAAGTTCAAAGGAACTGATCAACTTACGAGAACGTTCAGCACAGGGCATGATCCACCTAAAATTCTTGACAGATGTAACCACCGCCTTCAACTTTTCAGAGGAAAGCGTCCATGTGCGGAGGAACAGGCTACGGAGAGAGACAACTTCATCACCACCAGAGACAACTTCATCACCCATCGAGGCCCGGCTAGCTGCATATATCGTCAAACAACAAAGAGATAAAAGCACAAGTAGTATATCTCTGTTAATGTGCGACAAAATTAGTAGTGGTAACTTACATCTATCTTCCCACTATCAAACTGTATGTAAGCTATAGTAGTAATAAACAAACAATTTGATCAAGCACAAATTGCAAAACAAGATTGACAATACAAAAATCAAGGTTGTTAAAATAAGAAAATTTTACCAAGTTTGGATTTTGTTTTTGTTGAAAAACACTTGTTATAGGAGAAGGAAGTGCGTGCATCTAAGACTCTTGTTACCTATTGGACTCTTCTTACTTATAGGACTCTTTTTTATGTTTAGAAGTGTAATTGCGTAGGTTTCTCTAAGTTGTTATTTTATTCTCAACCTTGTATGTAATACTTCTTCTCTTTCTTTTTAGTCGTCAATATTATAAAGTCCAAACTATTGTAAATGGTATTAATAGTTAAAAATTACTTCCTACATTGTTATATGCTAAATGATTGCAATAAAAAAACGTTTTTAGGTAGATGTTTATTAAATGGTGAATTATTAGTATAATATAATGAATGTATTCATTGAAAAGAAAATGTTTTCACCTCTTATCATTTTGACAGTTAAAGAGTCGCATGTGTTGAGTGAATATTTTGAGTCTTTCTTATCTGCATATTTTCTTAAAACTGTCAATTATCAAATTTAATTGATAATAAACTCACATCTTCTCATCAATGACATATTTATCCATAATGAAATGGTAAATCAACAATATATATATCTATCAACGTTAACACATATTTAAATGGAAGCTACATATTTACGTTCAAGTTATTAGACATCTGTGATTTTGTTGGAAGTTTGCTAACTACTCATCAAAGTTCAAAATTTATAATTGATTGCTCAAATAGAATAAATTTTAATCATTAAAAGGAATTTTAATCGTTCAAATGGATCTATAAAAAATCACAAGGGACACACATGCAACGCACGTGTCCAAAAACTAGTTCTCATATATAAGTTAGAACCAAGTATTAGGCAAACTTTCACACTATATATGTTGTTGTTTGTTATTGTTGTTATATTAGCAACGTTTATCTGAAAATTTCATAACGGCTATAATGAAGTGTTGACTTGTTGTTATCGATCAATCTCATCCAGTCATTATAAACAAAAAAACACAAAAGCATTGTTTAATATTTTGATATTTTATTAATATTTATCATATAATTAAACTTTGTCTTATAATTATTAATTCCAATCATGTTTTTTAACATAAGCTGGAGGAGAATTATGACTTGCAAAATAAAATCAATCACCTAGTACCATCCAAAAACAAGAATTTTTTTTATCAAAGTAAGCCATTATTTAAATCAATTCACCAAAATAATATGTTTTTTTGAAAATTTACAAAACTAGTATAAATGTATTCCTGAGTAACGTTTTAGGCTATATTTTTTTTTTTTTAAATCTGACGCATAAAATATATGGGCTGACGGCGTTAAATAAAGAAACGTTATTGGTGTAACGTTTTAAGCATAAAACGTTACTGTCAAATACGTTTTATGATTCGTTACTCACAGTAACATTTTCTTTAAAATTCAAACATAGACTTTTAGTCTTCTTAGTACGTTTCTTGTTAATGTATCAGTTACTTTTTAACTGTTCACGAATTTTAGTTGTATTAGTATCCTTTCAATTAGTTGTTGTAAGCTAACTTCAATCCAAGATACCAACAATGCACGACGTTTATTTTTTCCGTTCTTGTCCCTTTTGAATAAGCTATGATTGTGAGCATAACCATGTTCTATTGGATTTTTCTTGTGAAAATCAAGTGAACAAAAAAGGATAAAACAAATAAATAAAAGTGATGATTTTTCTTTCAATTTTCCGCCAAGTGTTCGATAAATTATAGTGATAAATTACCACCTCAAATTAATACCCTAGCGAGAGAAAATTACTCTCGAGTTAAGAAACCAACATTATACATGTAGAGAATACTAAGAAAAAAGAGAGTAAAGAACCACTAGGCAAATGAATATCGAAAACCATCAAGAATCCTAATAATTAGGATCTAAAGTAGTGAAATTTATTTTGCTCTAAAAAAAAATCAAAAAATTGTTAATGTTAATATAACTATTTAAAGAAAAATATTTTTACAAAACAATAATAATTAATAATTAATAATTAATTCTCAAAATTTAAAATAAATTAAATTAAAATTTACCTCAAATTGAAGACTAGTTGCTATGTAATTGATACATTTAGTATAAATTCGAATTTACGATCATATAAAAAAATTAAAATTTAATAGATAGAGAGAGCTGATATTTAGAAAATCTTGAAGTAACTTACTTGAAAACAAATGTTGGGTATATATATATATATATATAGTATAACTTACATAAATCTCATAGTGTAATCCATAAGATGTTAGATTTGAAATCGATACATTACCGTTTAACAGTTGCTATGTAATTGATACATTTAGAATAAATTCAAATTTACGTATCATAGCTAAAAATTAGTGCATGATACATTACTATTTATGTATATCGTTTAAATTGATAAGTATTGTATTGTTTGCCCGGAAAGTATCACTTTATAGTTGATAATAATGTATCTGATACAATAATGTTGTGAAAGAAGGATGTATATAAGTTGAAATAAAGTGTATCCATAAATGTATCACGATAAATAAGAATTAAGTTATCAATTAGATACATGAACAAACACAATCCATTAAAGAAATTTGATTATGAAAAACACCAGAAAAAAGAAGAAAATATTAGTTGTATGAAATTTTGGTGAAATTGAAACTAATATTATTATGAGAAAATTAGAAGATTAAATAATAACACAAGAATCCTAATCAGTTTTAATGAATGATTAGTTGTTAGAGTCCATAACCAACTCAAATTATGAAAAATTATAAATATTATATTATTAATTTCTAATCAAGCACCCGAGGGTGAGTTTTATTAACCAAAAATAGAGAAACCAACTACAAATACCAAAACCCAAAGCGATTTGGAAATAATAGAAAAACAAAAACAACTACTAAACCAAAAAAAAATGAAAAAGAAGGAAAAAGACAAAATAAAAAGAAAAGACGACAGAAAAGGCAAGAACTTCCACAAATATTATATTAATTATTAACAAATAATAACAACTACTACTACTTCTTCTTTTTTTTTTCCTAATTTACGCTTTAGTGTAAAAAATTTGAAGTTCACAAAGTTTATTTTATTATGAATTTTGGAGTATTTTAAAAAATAGGTAAAGACTCATAAATACCAAGATTTTGTGACTAAAAATAAGGAGAGATTTGTAAAGTGAAATAAGGAAGGGATAAATGTTGGTTTTGGGAGTTAGGATTTATGTATCTAGCGTTTGGGAGTAAAATAAGGGATTTTGGAAAATTTTAGAACTGGTAGGGAATAATGAAAATTATGGAAAAAAAAGATGTGTATATAGGTAATTTATCCATATATATATATATATGGAAATTGTGGGTGAGACAGCGACCGAAAAATCGCATGACTAACAGTGAAATATTTCTATAAATTATTTCTTGAACACGTAAATTTTTTCTACACTTGTAAGAATTCAAAAATTCTTTTATATGTGAATATTTTAATTTCTCCACTTTTTAGAATTATTAGATCCTTTCAACTAACACAATTAAAACCCGTGAACAATTAAAAAGTAACTGATACATTAACAGAAAACGTACTAAGCAACTGTTTGAATTTTAAAGAAACGTCACTGCGAGTAACGTTTTAGCTATAAATCGCGCCTCCGAGTAATGAATCATAAAACGTATTAATTTGGCAGTAACGTTTTATGCTTAAAACGTTACCACCAAAAACGTTTCTTTATTTAACGCCGTCAGCCCATATATTTTATGCGTCAGAATTTTTTTAATAAAATATAGCCTAAAACGTTACGCAGGAATACGTTTATACTAGCTCTGTAAATTTTCAAAAAAACATATTATTTTGATGAATTGATTTAAATAATGGCTTACTTTGATCAAAACTTCCAAAAACAACCATAATGATTTGTAACTATATCTGTTCTTTCACATCCATTGCTAACATCAGAGTTAACAATATCAAATGTTTGTTGCTTTGGACCCCAATAAAAGTGACAATAAAAAACAGTACCACCAAATGCATGCCAATGGAATGAAAAATTAAATTCACCACCTACATTAAGGGTTTGGTCTCCAAGATCGTTATCTTTAGATTGACAACGAAATTTTAAGACAGTATCTTTATTTGGAAGCATATCGAGAATGTGAACCGTATATCCAGCGGTAAGGGGAAGAGAATTTGCGGTTTGAACGAGAATAGTTAATAGGACTACTAGTGAAAGTATTATGACTTTGGCCATGGTGAAATTTTATATATTTGTCTAGTGAATTAGTATGTGTTTTCTACTAGTTTTTGTTTTCCACTTGTATATAGTTGGTATGTACCATAGTGAGTTGATT